ATATATACGTTTGTATTTTATATATATTTGTTTATGCTTCGTGTCTTCATACGATTTTTCTATCTCTTTTCCTCTTATTGCTTGTTTTTTTTTTAACATGTGTAATTACATTACAGTTAACGCATATCTACAATGAATTTTTGAAGCAGATTGCACAATGATATTGCAGCTATGAAAATTATCTATTTACATGTTGCAAGGTTAATCTCTATTTCCTGTTTTAAGAAAAATATCCCGATTGTTGGGGTGACCATCATTTTCCTGTGACTAAATTTTTCTCGAATCTGTACTACAATAAAAAAAATTGAAGTTTTTTGATTCGTATATTATGTATACTATAAAAGATAATATATCTGTAAAATATAATATAATTATAAATATGCATAAATTATATTAGAGAATTAAAGTTATTTCTGTAATTGAAAAAAATCGATTAAATCGATGCTCCCAATTGGATTTTGATAAAAATCTTTATATGCTGAAACTTCCTTTTTCTTTTTTTTTTTATAGATGATGCATTATAATTTCTTACGAATGTTAAATGATAGATAGATATTATATCGAACAGTCGTGACATAGATCTATATACAACCTATTCATTAACGAATAACCTCATACTTTGAAAGTTATCATTTAAATAGCTTATTAATACGAGGCCGTTTTCATTTATAGGTGAATTGACTTTAAAACGATCTGTCTAAATATTTACCAAGTCTTTTTTTTGACGTGTCAAAGACGAATTTAAGTCTTTAGTTCTTTTCTTTTTCTAATAAATAAAATACAGTATTTATTGTATTTTTTATGTGTGTAAAATATGAGTTAAGTGTGTGTGTGGCGTGTGTGCTTTTAAGAAAAGATGTAACTCGTATGTACTATTTCTTCGACTGCTTACTTTCAACTATTTAGCATATGAGCGTAGTATAGTTAGAGTGATGAAGATACGAGTAAGTCATATTAATTATTACCTGTTGCTTAACTTGCGATTTCTATTAAAATATTTACAAAGACGTTTTTTATGCACCTGGTCGATGAATTTTATTGCAAAAATTTATATTATTATATTTGTATAACATTATTTTAAAGTATTTCATAATTATATAT